TGCATGTTGATACAACATAACAACATTTGCAGTGGGTTTGCCAGAGGGTGTGTGGTCATATGGGATCAATATGTGGTCATATTCTAGGAATAGGTCTGCATAATCAGGCCCTTGATCCACTAGGTGAGGGAAATGTGTCTCCAAAACTGCCTTGCAATCCCTTTGGTGTCTGTACTAAGTACAATTAGTTCTCATTCTTAAGTCCTGAGGATGTGACCAAGACAAGCTAAGAGAACCACAGGCACAATAACTCAGGTACAAATCCTGCCTCTCTTGGTCACGGGTTGGTAACAAATGCTTACAGCAAGTATTTAAGTAAAACAACAGTGTTCAAGGAGATTCTGCATCTGTGCCATTTTTGTTTGGTGGATTCTCTGAATTTATTCCTATTTCAACTTCATTATAAACCACTGTATCCTGTGGTGACAAGCTGTGTAATTTAATTATTATTTTGCATGTGTTTCTTGGGGGTAGACAACTTCTTTTCACTTATTCTCATCTTATTTCCTGGTAAGTTCATTAGTTGATTCTAAATTTTGTATAGTAAGAAACAGTTGGTAGTCATTCCTTGTTTCTCACCCTCACACCTACTGTGACAGTACAGATGTGTGTACTACTTTCTTTCCAACTGATCCTTTTCTTAAGCTGAGGAATCTGAGTTGAATTGATTTTTGCATGGGGATACATACTGAGAGTAAATCAGATTCAGTGGCTGCTGAGTGGAAACCATCAGACCATTAACTTCTATTTGGCCCCTCAAAATGGGGAGAAAATTCAGTGGCGTCAACTACTGCTACCCCATGTGGAACTCAAGTTGTTTCAAAATGTGTTGTGTTTTCACAGCTTTTAAAGTAGGACAGCTTGCATTTTCAGGAGTTAATTAGCCCATTGGCATACTGGTGCAGTGCCCTGAACCTCAGCAAGGACAAATAATTGCTGGCCCAACCTGGCACAGGGGCTGCACCAGCTTCTCTCCAAAACGTCTACTAGTGATAGGAACTATTACAGTATAAGTAAGATCTATGCAGTCCTAATATGTCATTCTCAGATGTTACTGAATTGCTCCCATAGGCTTCAGGGGATTCGTTACAGAGCCCACATTTTAGTGTCTTGAAAGCTGCCATTAAAAATAAGTAAATCAAAGAAAAAATGTGCATCTCAACACCAGTGAGCAAATCAATAGCATAAGAAGGAAAAGGTATATATTTTAGCTAGTGTCTTTGGTTCAGGTGTATCTACTTCTGCTTCTCAAAACTGTTATTTTCCTGAAACAAGAAGTGATCATTTTGGTACTTTGTTACCTGGATCTAAAGTCACTTCTGTGAACCAGGACAGGATAAAGTGAGGCAGCTCTAGCAGTATTGCTTTGTGGTTTTTTTTTTTTTTTTGCTTTTAAATTTTAAGTTAATAGCCTCACGTATTTGTTCCCACCTGGACTTTTTGGATATTATTAAACACAGAGAATCAAACTCTGTATGGATATCAGATTTTATTTAAGCTGATTTGCCTGTGACCGTTTAACAGAAGATTTTCACTTGGCATTCCTCTTTTTTCCTCTGTCTTATCTACTAGAGATGACATTCTAAAGTAGCAGTTGCTTGTTGAAGTTTTATTATGAAATGCAAAGTGTTTGATTTAAGTTAATAAATGATCAAAGATTATCTTGAAATGTTCTAAGGAATTCAACTGTGATGGGAAGCACCTGAAGTTAACCTGTCTTAGGAGGCTCATGGCCCTGAATTTCCCTCTACTGCAGCTGAATTTCAACAATTCATTTTAATCACCTACTGAAGGGATCTGTCTCGGTATGGACAAGAGAAGGAACCTAGGAAAGCTTGTGACCTCTCCCTAAATACCCAAACAACTCTTGTCCTTTGTTGACTCCAGGGACGGGTAGTTTGTTTTGCAAGATGGTTATGAACACTAAAATAGTCAGAGAAAACACAGCCCTGGAGGATGTTGTAGCCTTCTCAGGCTCCTGTGCAGTTCCTTCAGTTCAGTTTGATTGATATCAATGTGAGAAATTTCTGTGAAATATAGATGGAGACCAACAGCCAGATGTCGTGGAGAACTGAACGAGTTTCTCTGCACGACCGAGTAAATGTGTGCAAGTCAAACTTCTACCTCAGTGGTCCCTTTTCTGCTATAATATATATAATATTGAGTCTCTCATATTGTTTTGGCACATCTGAGCTATGTCTATGCTAATGGGTGTCTTTGGTGTCCAAAATAGAGAGCCACAACCAAAATATGCATTACCAAAAGTCCTGGATCTGTGTCAGCTCTTGAGTTGTGTCTCAGAATTGTTTGGAAATTTAAATGCTTCTGGCCAGAACCATCCAGAGGATGTGCCTCACAATTTAACACTGCTGTGATTGAATTCTGCTTCCAGGGATTAATCCCAGATACTGCTCAGCTCATTTGTGTGATCATAACCAGAAGCTCTGGTCCAAGCCTGGATCATTGTCATCCACCTGGGTTCTGGCACTGGAGTTGCATTTCCATACTCAGCTATTGGTATGAATTAAAAAATGAAAAATAACTGATAAGGATTTTGATCTAAAGCCTTATGCTGTCAGTTCTTTGGTGCTTCCATGTCATGTTTTGACTCTAGCAAATGCCCTTTTAGCTGAGGAAAAAAGTATGAAGTGGTTGAATGTGTCTCTGATAATTTCACAACCTAAATGATGAATGTGCAGGTTCAGGATCCTTCTGGCATCAGTCGTGGAATTTGGTAAAACAGAGCAAACATGGTTAGAAATTTGGCAGTTCACTAAACAAAAATGTCAGTTGCAAGTCTGGGAATGAAGATTTCCTCAGAGGTTTATTTCAGCTTTTCCTCTGACATTTATTATGGGGTTATGGTACAGCAGTGGGAAAAATGAGAAAATTTTGGGGTTCTTTCTTCCTTGTTTCCTTTCCTTCATATTCCTGTTTCCGTGAGCCCTCACTGTTGTCGTCCATAGAGATGCTGCTATTTTGTAAAGTCATTGGCAGAACTTTGCTGCTTTCTCACTGTTGGGAATGGCACCTCCTTAACATGAAACGTAACCCTACACATGTGATTACAGCAGTAGTAGGAGGTGAGTGATCAAACATTTACATGGCTCTACCTCTTGGTTACATTAAAGAAAATGAGTGTAATTTTCACCTACATACTTTTATCATATTATAAGTGAAACTGCTTATAAGCCAAATAAGCCAGAAGGCAAACTGTAACATATTAAGGTGAGAGAGAAAAGGAAAAACAACCTCAATATTTTCAGAATTATGTGTTAAATTTGAATACATTTAAAACTTAGTGATACGTATAATTAATGCCGGTTTCCGTGGTTACAGAGTCAAAGATACAGAAGTTGCAGCTTCATTTCTTATCACTGAAAAATCTTCTTAAATCAGAAATGGAGAGGATCCAGGTGGCAAATATTCATATTCTGGAATTGGCATCACCCATCTTGTGTTCAATCTGTTAGTCACATATATTAAAATGAGTCAAGATCTCTGCTTTCTCATTAATGTATTTGGTAAACAAGAATGTAACCATCACTGAAGAGGAAAGGGGATCCATTTTACATCTATGAAATGGCCCCCATGAAGCAGATCCTCATATTTAGCTCCAGTATATTTGGCTGTATCTTCATGTTTGGCTATATCATTGTCAAAGAATTTGAAATTACAAGGTGCACAAAGAGTTCTAGAGACAGGACCCTTTGGGCCTGTGCTCATTTAGGGTAAGGCTGTGTCATACTGAGGGATCCCTATTCCAGTTATTATTTGGCTGTTGCTAATCTCTTCATGCTTCAACTCAGGAGTAAATATCTTCTCATTGTCTGTCCCCATCCTAGCAAATATAACCAGTATTGGGTAAATGTGACCAGTTGGGTACTGGGCTATGCTCCACTGATCCACGCACGCCGTTCAATTGTTTGTGTGCTCCCTGGATGCCTGGGGTGGCAACACTGAACACAATGACAGCACCTATAAATTAATGTATTAATTTTGACATTACAGCCACGTTCAATAATTTATGAAAGGGGTGTGTGTGTATGATTTATGTTAAGTAAGAGACTGTAGATGAGAGCAAAACGAGGAATTCCCATATTGTGGGAAAGGGTTTCAAAACTTGTTACGCAATGCTGTAAAACTAGCAAATCTGAAATTTCAAGTGGAGTGGAAATTTTATACATATTTAATGCTAGATTTCCTGAGGAATTGTGTTTCAACAAAATAAATACCTTTTAATTCTTACTTGAATGTTAGTAGTAGATGTATTTTACAAAGATCTTTAGAAAAAAATGCCTATTAAATATAGGTATTGAGTTAAATATAAGCATTGTAATTTGAGGCTTCACTGATTTGTTTTACTTTCTCATAACAAAGTTTTTATAGAAATCAGGATTTCCACACTGAAGGCTCAGCACTATAAAAATGTTATATTTCAGTACAAGATTGTCCTCTGGGGAAAACTTTTACCTGCTGTGTTAGGTTGTAACTCTGACATTTCTCTCCAGCATGTCTCATGCAGCCTTGCTGCCCTGTTTGTGGGGCAGCACAAAATCACGGATGACAGCAATGAACTGTCTCAGAAAGATATAGTTTGTTCCACCCCCTGCTATTCCCTCCCAGCCATGAATACATTCACCACATTCATTCATGTAATTTTATTTCAGCTTGGTTTGAGAATGAGTTGCACCAAACCCTCAACATTTATATCTGGTCATAAACTTTCCGGAGCTGCAGTTATGCAGTGAGTTTTGACCAGTGAGTTTTGTGCAGAGGACCTTTGACCAGCCAGAGGACCTCTGAGGTCCCTGGTTGCTCTGCAGGTCTGATAAATAGATCTGTTCTCGGCCAAAACATCCAACTCCAGCAAATCACAAAGAATCTGAGGATATGCATGGAGAACTTATCAAAGAGAAAATGGTTCAAATGAAACAGTTTTTTTTCAGCACAACTTAAAAAAAGCAGAAACCTTTCTATCCCATCCTAATCTGTTTCAGTGTGGGACAGACCACCTGCCTCTCAGGATTTGGTTCCTCAGCTTATGGTGGAGAGCAGATCCTTGGAGTACTCAACTAAAGGGGAAAAAGCCCCAACAACAAAACAACAAGAGAAAGGAATAACCAGTAGCAACTGGGCACCAAGGAAATGTGAGTACCCAACTTATTGCAGGAGTAAAGGCTGTTTATTTATAACATCTGTTCATGTTTGTTATTTTAATGTTAGCAAGAAAAAGTGAACCTACAGTCTTCAGAGAATATGAAAAAATGCACAAAGCCAAGTAGTTTTTTTACTTTACATACTGGACAAAGGTTAAAGAGAAATAGCTTTGAACTTGCATAATTTCAGGGCTTTTTGCATAATTATTAAATAATTTAGTGCACAAATAACACTCATAAAAATACTGGGCTGGTGTTACAATTAAAAGTAGACCCTGATTTTCAGACTATTTAATTTTGTGATGACAGACCTGTTTTTCCATGCCTTATTTTTGTCCTGTTTTCTCTTTACAGTTATTTTGAAAAAATAACATTTTATTGTTGGAATTGATAAGCATAGGTTTGTAGAGGTATCTAAAGTAAAATCATTGAATTCTCTCCAGGCTCAATATATCTTCCTTTGCAAAATAATTTTGATAAATATACAGATGAATCTTTAAAAATCAAAAATATATTTGTATTTAGGTGAATTTCTGATACAAAAAAATGTTATTTTAGCTTACTGATACTTAAACAACCTCTTTTAAGAATTCTGGTCTCTTTGGAAGGGCCACCAGCTCATTGGATGGGGGCTGGTAGATGAATGTTTTAGGGTCATGTCATTACTGGGACTTACAGATATTTGAATTTCTGGAAGAGGCTGATTGATGGCGCAAAGGAGTATTCTTTGGAGGAGTCACTTTGAGACTTTTTTCACAAAGAATGAAAAACTCAGTGTAAAGTACAACAAAAGGACAGCAAGTAAGTAAAAGATCTATTTGTACTCTTTGTATTATTGGAGCAGTCAAAAGTTGGAGAAGTGAATGTTGAAAAGTGGCACAGTGAATATTTATTGTGCAGTCCAGGTCCTTCAAAGATACACTCTTACTAAAAAGTAGTTCTGTGCTGTTTTCTTGAATTGCTGGTCAAAAATATCTTAGTGCTTGATGCTTTTGTAGAAATTATTCTGTGTGTTGCTTTAGTGCCCATCACCATGAAAATTGAATTTCAGCTCAAGATGGAACAGGGGATCAGTAAGAGATGATCCTAAATATGTTACTTGTTGGTTGCTCATGGCACAGGAAAAGGGCTAAGTTCAGTAAGGGATTAAACAGAAAACCTCCTTTTTGAAGCAGTGGGTTTGTGCCTCTGCATTTCTCTGAGCCTGGACGTTGCTGTTGAGAGCACCCTGCCATCAGCATATATTTAGATAAGGATGTTTTAGACTGGCACTCATTGACTCCAGAAGATTACACCAATATTGAAAGGCATGGCCAGATAGGACTATTTATCATATCTTTATTGCATTTCCTCGTGAAAAATACTTGTAAATATGCTGGGAATAACATTTAGGGAGATATTTTCAAATAGTCTAAATGGAAAATCTGAAAAATAATAGTGGCTGCCTTAGATATCCATTGTGTAAGCTTAAACATTTATTTGAAATATGAGCTCTTTATTTCTACTGGAATGAATTATGTTGTTTGCTATTTTTTTCTCCTGCTATTATATTCAAACCATTTAAAATTTATTCAGTCCTACTTATTGAAATATAAATGTTTAGGTTATGCAGCAAAATATATCATAAAAATACTAGAGGTATATCCAGTGCAGGAGATATTTTGAAACTAGTTACTAATCAAAATTATTAGCTACATTTTTACTTCTCCTGCTATAAAACAAGCTTTCTATGTCTGCAAAATCATGTACTTTTTTTAGCTTGTGAGTTTCAATTCAAAGCAGGGCTCTTTTTTCACTGATGAATTTTAAAAATTAAGTTTATAATAGAAACCCTGTCATTTGCTTAACTGCAGAGGATCAGAAACCACTATAATTAGCCCAACTACAGCAGCAGATGAGTTTGGCATTTCAGCATTTATCTAGGGATTTTGCATCAATTATTTTTTAGCAATGAATTAAAAGGCATCTTTTGCATCTGGGTGCTAGATTTTTATTTTAATATGTTTTCACTTTTTAATAAACACCTGTTCCTGATTCTTTCACCCTGGCAGCCTAAACTACATAGTTCAGATTCCTCCAGGAATTCAGACTTAATCTATTAAGTGCAATGGTGGTGAAGCGGAGGATAATGACCTCTGGAAAAACAACTGGCCCCACACTCACTCGAGAAACACAAGAGTCTTCCAAGAGCTGTGTTTCTATCCTGGAACAACTGTTTTGATGATGGTTTTCTGCTCCAGCTCCTTCGTCCAATTGTCTTTCACTCATAGTGGAAAATTTAAAGGATCCTTTAAGCTATTCATATATGAAAATTACTTAAAAGATAAACACATTGAAATATGGATTTTTTTTTTTTTCTTTTTCCTCAGTGGAAATTCCTCAGAACTAGGGAAATGGTTTTCAGGAATGAAGAATATAACTGAAATATTGATTTCTTTGATGAAGGAGCTCAAGATTTATGCCCCAGATACAAGCACAGCCTCGCCTTTCTGCAAAAATCCTTGTGAGCAGAAGTAGACCCTCTAGCCCAAATGGATGTGTTGAAACAAAAGTGTCTGGAGTGATTCAGGGTCCACAGGCAAGAAGAGACAGAACTGGGAGGGCCTAGGTCCCAGTTGTTAACAATCAACACTTAATAAAAGGCAAAGATGTCTTTTTATTTCTGTTTTGAGTTCTGCTTATGCAAGATTATTTTTATTGAAATAGGCTTTCTAAAATATGACTTTCTCACAAAGTTGCACTTGCCTCCACTGGATTTTCCAGCATTTGTGTGAGCAAGAAAGAAGTGCTATTCATACCAGAGAATGTCTGCTACCAAGATGAGTATCTTTCATATTTCTGGTAGCCCAGATAACCCTTTTGGTGGTGACTTTCGGTTCCTTAATGACTGCAAACACAGAACTCAGCATTTTGCACTTTTTCAGATAAGATATGTGGAAAGTGATCGTAGAAAACTTGAAAAATGGAAAAAATCCCTCAGCAGACTACCTAAAATTCTTTTGCATACGTTGACATTTTAGAAATATAACTCCAACAATAAACTGGGTGATGTTTTTATAGAAGGCTATGTATTCTCTTTCAATATGCGTTGGGGTTGGGTTTAAAAGAGAACTGAACCTTTCTAGCATTATCTTCTAAAGCTCTGTCAGGGTTGTCACTGAAAATATGTTTTCAGACCATCCCTTGAAGCACATGCTCATGCAGGGCTGCATGGGAGCTCCCATAGGCCAAACCCACAATTTTGCACAAACTTGGAGAAAATGGGACTGACACTAATGTTGAATATAAAGAGAACTTGAAATGAATTTGTGTAGTCTGGAATTTATGCAAGCAAAGAGGAAAGGGGAATAGGCTCCCCCAGTATGCAATTTGGCTCTTGGTGAAGCAACCTGTAGATAAGTCAGAAATTTCAGACTCCATGGGAAAGGTGGATTGTGGTTTTCTTATCTGTAATTTGAAGATTTTCAGCAACACAAAGATACTTTTTAAAAAGCAAACTGTCTCGACTCCTGTGTGAAGGCCTGCAGTGAATTAGCCCAGTGCCTGCTGTGGTGGGACTATGAGACAGTCAATCTGGGCTGGCAATTAAGTCTCTTTTCACAGTGGGAATTCAGCGTCACATGGACTGCTAAGGACTACAGGGCAGAAGTTAACCAGTCACGTTCTTAAACCTAACTAGTTTTTTGTAGCTTGAGGTTAGAAACAGGGAGAGCAGAGGAAATTTTCTCTAAACAGATTGACAAGGTGACTTAGAAGAAAAACACCACTGCCCATAGCAGTGAAAGTGCCCTAAAGGGAAGATGTAGTCCCTACCTTGTTTTAGAAAGAAAGGGAAGCTGGTTTGGTTTTGAGGAACAAGGTGAGATGCATTGCCTTCTTAGCTCTCTTTTTTTCTGTGTTGATACTGAAGGCAAGGAGATGTTCCTTACCTTGCTGTAGATTAATAAAGAGGAAGGAGGAGATAAAACAGGATTAGAACAGCAAATCATTGTCTCTAAATCAGGACAGCTGGGTTTTTGGGTTTCTTTTTGCTGTTTAGTCTGAAGGAGTGTGGACTACAGTATTTGTCTCCTGACAACAGAGTGAACTGGGGAAAAATAAATGGTTTTTTTTAAATTTTGAAGTGGATTGAAAATTTTAACAGATGTATCACTGTAACACATCCAAGAATGCCTGGGGAACTGCACTTTGTCACCAGAGTGGCCAGCAAGTTATTTTTTGCCAGGGGTATAGCAAAGCCAAAATACTCCCCCTAATGAAGGGTACTTCCTCCCCCCAATATCTTCTATTTTGGTATAAAATTGTCCAGGCTATGACCCAGAATATTATGGATTTGTATGTGACCACAGGGAGGAAAGCTGGTCCAGATATCCAGAGACGTCTCTGAAGGATGATGTTATGTAGCTTTGTTTTTGTTTTCTCTCCCAAATTCCTAGTGTCATAATAGACAACCAAGCCACCTAAATGCCATACAGCTGGGTGGGGCTGGAAGGCCTTAATCTGAAAACATCTTCAAACTTCAGCTATTGCCAAAATTTACTCCATCCTTATAATCCATCCATCCATCCATCCATCCATCCATCCATCCATACATCCATTGAAGGGCATTGCTCAGGAGTACCTTGACTTCTCAGTTCTGAAGAGTTCAGTGCTTATCTCCCATCCATGTGAAGTCAGAAACTCTTTTATTTTTTTCTATGTGATAGTTGGAGGACTTCACCCAGGGAATACATTCTCACAAATTGTACCACGGAACACAGATAAATGGGTAAACACCATTCCTGTGTTTGCTAGCAGAGAAGTCAGAGCACTCCAACACACATAGGGTAACTCTCTTGAGGAATTCAAATCTACATTTCCCATGGATGAAAGCACAGCCTAAAAGCAATTACAGGTAACAATTTGAAGAGCCCAGCTTCAGATGAGGCAGAGGAACCAGGCAATAAACCCTGATCTTCCGCTAGTGGGCAAGTGATCCTACATGATGGCTTTTAGCCAAATAGTGACCACCTACAGCATCACTGATGGTGCAGTCTTAAGAAAATTATTCCTTCCATGAGCAAGCAGTGGGCACACACTGCCAGCTCTGCTGGGGGCTGAGGCATGGGAATGCTTGTGAAGGAGGCCTGATGTACCTTTTACACCGTGTTGTCTCCAAGGTGCCCTGACTTGGGTCTCTGCTCAGCGTATTGGGACTCTGCTTCCTTGTGCAAGTGCCCAGCTCCCTCCATAGCCTCATTCTAGAAGCCTGAGCACCTCAAAGTGGTGCTTGGGGCAGACCCTGGAGTACATGGCAGTAAGATGTAAGTTGCTTATTTTAAAGTAAAAATTCTGACATTTCCTCGGGTCTTTTTGGAGTGATACCTTGGTCTCTTTGTTGCTTTCTTCATCCTAATTTGCTGCTTAAAGCTCAGGCCCTCCTTAAGGGAAAATGGACATCTCTTACAGGTGTGAAATGTACTCAGCCATTATGGATCCCAGCACACTGGGGGATACTGCCTGGAATTCTTAGAAGCCTGTTTACCCCAAAGAGTCCATACCTGTGTCTAAGTTCGGGTCTCCCTCCTAAAACTTTCTGAATTTTGGTTTACATGTCTCTACAGTAAACCTGAAGGATTTATGCTTTGAAGTTCTATTTATAGCAGTTTTACTGTCCACAATTTTTTGAGACAAATAGCACCATTATCAAACAATTAATTAGACCTGTTCCTGCTCCCATTTAGAGGCTGCAGACATCAGGGTATGCAGCTGATATGACTTTTTCCCAGAAGGAGAGGAGCTGAGATACAGTATTT